CAGGGGCGGTGGGTTTTAATTATTTGTATGGCAGCCAGGGTCAATTTTCTTGAATAATGGGGATCATAAATTAGGATTGGTTTCATACGTTTAGGTAGGTACATTCTCTTGCTCGTAGACGTCTGCGTCTCTGTCCAACATCTGTGTCTCGGTCTCAGTACCATGTGGTACATTTAATTTGCATGGAGGCAATGCACCCTTAAGCTCACCTTACATGGGGGCATTGGCACCGCCGCTGGCCCCCCCATAAGTCGCCGCCCCTGGTTACCACAAATCAACCCCCTAAGCCGCCCGGCCAGTGCAATTAACGTAAAAAAGGGGTCACGATTGTAATTATTCGAGTAGTTCCCATTTTTTAATGTATGTTTTATACACATCTCTCCTATTGTTCCAAGTTTTCGACCTCGACGAAGCTGTGCACGACCCTCGATCTTTAGAAATCCAGACAAAATAGCGTTAAAATCTAGTTTTTCCCATGTATCTGCAAATTTCCGTTCCGTTAAACTTTTGTAGAGCGTTAAATTTCCTATAGATTTGATATTCACAATTTTCTTTTATCTCTAATATCTCTAATAGGTACCGAGATATAAATTCGCAAAGAGGGGATGTATTTTGCAAAAACAAATAAAATGGACCTACACTTAAAATGATGCAGTGAATTTTCTTTTGCCAGTGACCAGCAAAGTCACAAATCAGGGTGTGCGTGTGACCATAGCAATAGATCCATTGATACTCTTCCATCGTGTGTCTATTGTCAAAAAATCTGAAAGTGAACCTCAGGAATATGGAAATGGAACACGGTCCCCCCTTTTATTAATTGTTCAATTCTCTACCAAATGACACCGAACTGAGAAACAGGAAAACACATGTAATTGATAGGCGATCTGGCGATATCTCTACTGCACAAAGTGGTATGGGGTCGTGATCACCTTTTTTTCCGCAATCTTTCAGCAATACATCAGGTATGTACAAAATCATATGCAGTAGTAGTCTTCGATGGATACCCAGATTCTGTGGAACTGAAAGGCGCCAAGAGGATTGAAAGAGCACGAGGTTCCAGAGTTGCAACTTCTGCTAAGGTTTTGTTTTCTGAAGGCATGAACTCACATCAGGTGCCACAGGAAGCGTTTCTGTGAAATGAGAGAAAGTCTCGTTTTATTTCCTTACTCAGAAGCCAAGGTTAGCCAAGAACCGCCTTTGAGCAGTCACACATAACAACATTACAAGCTGACGAGTAGTGGATACGATACCTGTCGTGGTGCAGAAATACTACAAGAAACCATACCCCATGAAACGTTTTATTTACGCAAAACTGATTGACGTTGATTAAAAGGTAGGAACAATAAGAGGCACATAGAAAATGCCAAAGAACGGAACACGCTGGAAAAATTGAAGTTAGGAATTGAAATGCACCGGTAACAAGGTATACTTACGGTAATAGTTATTTACATAAGTCAGGAAAATATGATACATTACTTTACTATCGAGGTATTATTGAAGTGCGAGCCCCCTTCGGAGCCGAGTACTTTATTTTCCGAGTTTATAGAAAAAGAGGTCCATGTCTTCTTACCGATCAACGATCTGTATCCTTCATGTTTAATAATAAACTGGTGTTTCGAGAATGACACTTGGGCTATATCGAAAAATTTACCTTTTTCTGTTAGAAAGTCAGAAAAATGACTATCGCGCCTGGTCCTGATTTGATAAAAGCTACCTACTTCATTATTCGAAAGATTAAGTATTGATTTTAAAGGACCTCCTTGTAATACGAAGAATAAGTATATAATGACTGTTATCGATGAATATTCACGCTTCCCATTTATCTTTCCATGCGCCGACCTCATGAGCCCTAAGACAGTAATCAAAATTTAATGTCTCAATGACATACATATACTGTTCGGTATGTAGTCAAATCTTTCATTCAGATAGAGGGACTTTATTCCTATCTTCGGAGGTAAAAGATTTTCTAAATTCACGAGGAACAGCTACAAGTAGGACCACCCCGTATAATCCTCTGGGAAACGGTCAAGTGGAACGCTTAAAACGGAACTGTTTGTAAGGAAATCCTGTTGGCATTACGTTGAAAGAACTTATCAGTAGATAAGTGAGAAAAAGTTTTCTCACAAGCTTTACAGATACCACCCCTTCTGTGCACAGTTATAATAAATTGTTCACCGCATGTCAGGTTGCTTAAACAGACAAGAAGATCTTCAAACTGGGTTTCGGTACCGAGGGTTGAGTGGAAGAGCAGAGACGGATACCATCTCTATCTGAACTAAGACGGGATCTGTAGAAAATATCTAATAAAGTCATTTATTATTATTATTTTTATTACATGGTTGACGAATTCGGAACAAGCTCTAACGTAGAAATTCAATCGCCAACTACTTGTGGGGAAAGTGACACTGCTTCATGTAAATCCTGATTACTCTTATGTTCGCCTTGCAGATTGTTGTGAATCGACGGTTTCAAATCGTCACTTCTCACTTAGCATCGTTGAATCAGGAAGGTGAATGAATTCCGGATATGATCAAGATAGAGGACCTATAGAAACTACTGATTCAATCAGCTGTAGAGCGAATTGGTTCACCATCAAATTTTATTGACGAACCAATTTCACGAAGATCAGTGAGGAAACGCAGGCTCCTTGCAATCCATTACTTCCTCTAATTATTACAGTTGCATTCTGCGGAATATGTTTAGCGTATCTATTTACAATCATAAAAATACATCATTGTGCCCGGTTTAGTTTATCCGATTCTCGCCCATTTCTTTGGTTCTGATGAGTGATGATTAAATTAAAAGCTCTCGACCTCCGGCTAAAAACGTAGTTTTTTATATAACCTCTGTACGCTCATTAAATTTGATTGTTACGGGGAGAAGGATCAAACTTAAAATGACAGTACCGGTTTGCGTATTGGCATTCTGTACTATTATTCAGAGCAGCTCTGGTCTGATTCGCAGTATACTATGGCTTCACATTATGCGCAATTTGATTAGTATATTAAGATACAAGTGTATAATCAAGTCTTTAAAGCACGCGCAACGAGTTTAAGGGCACGACGCAAAGCGGAATGCCTTTAACGTTGCAAGTGCTTTAAAGACCAATTATACACGTGTATCTTATAGTATTTTTTATTATACCTGCAGTATAATTTAAAAATAGGAAATACAATGAAGTCATATTGACGTTATACTCGAATACATGTTTAATTAAGTGGGCTGGGTGTTCAAAATTTCACGATTGCCATGGAAATGTCACTTGACGTTTGCTTATAATCATCATAATCTTTGTAAATAAAACGATTTCCGTTGAAAAAGATAATACACCGTCCATTAAATCGCTTGTTGTAAAATCTAAACAAACTTTGGTAGGTGTAAAATCCAAATCCAGTAAAGCCTATTATAAAGAATATGAAAAGTTGTTTCCATGGACGAATAGGAAGTTACTTACGAATACAGTCTTAAATGCATCCCTAATGCTGGCATATATGAAGGAAATGTCAAAGGTATTTAAATATTGTATATTTTGGTGCATTCATTCAAAACTAAAGCAATGCTGCGATTAAAAAATGGAACAGATTTGGAAGCATACCCTAAATTACGCGCGTTTGTGAAAGCTTCAACGAAAGGATAGGTACAAAAGCCAAAGAAATGTTCTGCATTTACAGAAAGCGACCTAAGAGGATTTTTTTATTTCATCCAGATGACAGTTTCAAAAGTCATACTTGAAGTATCGTTACTTAGCAACTTTAAAGCACGTGTGTTTTAAAGGCCCTTTTTCGCACGCATTTGAGTGTTTAAGGGCCGGTTGTACAAGTGTGAAGTTCAGGGATGGTTTAACTAAACTACGCCCAAGTTTTGAGCGTAGTTTTCGTTTAACCTCGTTGTACAAACTGCGTTCAAACTTCGTTTACCAAAACCACAATTTTCTGTTGTTGGCAACGTGCAAACATGCGCATAAAGAATTAATTGGATATTTGTTGTGAATAAACTTAACCTTCAATCAATACTAGTTTATTTATAACGATGTGCTCTAACGAAAAAAAAGTGCGTGCAGCCAATTTTACCGCGAAAGAAGAGGCAATATTAACCAGTTTAGTAAAACAATATGAACATGTCTTAGAGTGCAAAAAAACAGATGCGGTTACGAACCAACAAAAGACCGAAGCCTGGTCAAATGTTGCTCGGGAGTTCAATGTAGTAAACGACAGCCACCGTAGTGAAGCTGTGTTAAAAAAGAAGTTCGAAAATCTAAAGAAAAGGGTGAAAAAGAAACTGTCTGAAAATAAAACGTATTCAATGGGAACTGGGGGTGGTCCTTACAAAGACACCCCATTAAATGACACCGAAGAGGGCATTAAAGATATACTTGGCCCAAGAGCAGAGGGATTTCAATCACAATTTGATGGGGATGCTAGTAAGTAAAAAATGTGTACATTATAAACAATTTACATACATTTTACTACTTCCAGTTGAAATTGAAATACCAGAAACAGACGACCTGCAAGTTAGTAATGGTAAATAAGGACTTCCAAGTGTGTGTGTGGTTCAATATTGTTTCGTTACAGAGATGATAGTAGAGTTTGCTAACGATCACGACTACAGTTCGACCGTAAAACCATCTGCAACAGATGATATCGAAAATAATGGTAGTATACGGTACTGGTCATAAAGTATTAAATCTAAGTTCCTTCTGAATTTGTAGGTGATAAAAACTGGAAAAAGTACACACCTAATATGCTTAAAAGAAAAAAATCAGCTGCGCTTTGTGTAAACACCACTGGTAAAATCACTTTCAGAAATGTACTATAAATACTAATTATTTTAAAATTTTAGATACATCCCAGGGTGTTATTAACAAGAAGATTTCGCAGTGGGCAGAGGCTAAAACAAAACTGGAAGAGAGTAGAATGGAAGGTGTTTTGGAAGAACAAAAAGTAAAATTAAAACATACGGAAGAGGAACATAAGTTAAATTTAGAAATAAAAAAGACAAAATCTGAGTTCGAACTAGAATGTATGAAAGAAGAACACAAATTAAAAATGGAAATTTTGAAGTTACAAAAAGATATGTTATTAAAAAATGTTAAACAATAAGTTTGTTCGTAATATACACTGTACACTATGCTAAGCGATTAAAGTATTCGTGAATAAGGTGATGACGTACAGCATTATTTAGTCCATTGTTGTAATATGGAACATTTTCCACTTCGAAATTTATTTCAGCAGCTGCAATAGCTTCTTGTTCTTCCTCATTTATGTCTGGCAGTGCATCATTAAAGTTCCTAGCTATATTATGTAATACTGCAGTTGCAATTACTATAGCCTCGACCTTTTCTGCGCGTTGTCGAATCCCAAATGACAATATGGGAAATCGGCGTTTCATCACACCAAAGCACCGTTCTATTGGGTTACGTGTGCGTATTTGGGATTCATTGAATAAATTTTCAGTACGAGTGATCGGATTTCTTAGAGGAGTAATTAAATACGGCTTAATAGCATATCCTGCATCTCCAACTAATAAGTACCCTCTAAAGTCTCCATTCTCAAATTGATTTCTTATTTGAGAATGTAAAAATATTGTGCTATCATGAGATGACCCAGGCCATCTGCATACAATATTTTGAATCCTCAGGCTTGCATCACAAACAGCTTGCACATTATAAGAAAAAAAATTTTTCCGATTTCGAAAAATCTCAGCATTGTTACCGGGGGATATAATCTTCACATGGGTACAGTCAATAGCACCAATGCATTTGGGGAAACGACTAATCATGTAAAAGCCTCTACTTCTTTCTCTCATTTCTTCCTCTGTGGTAGGCATTTTGATAAAAATGCGGTGTTGACTGGCAATGGCTCGACAGACTTTTGTAGTAAGTCTGCTTGCAGTAGATTTATCGATGCCAATAAAGTCGCCTGCAACTGACAAAAAGCAGCCAGTTGCTAAATACCTTAGTGCCAATAATACCATACACTCGGCACTTACTGCAAAGTTTCTGTAACGAAATTATACGATGTGGTTGGGTGGTAGCTACACTATAGGGTCGTTTTTATACCTGTTTGTGGGATGTGATATTTCTTCTTGTATTAAATCAATTACAAAACGAACTGAATCTTTGGATAACCTAAATCTATTTAAAAATTCCTTATCATTCCACTTTGTAAAGTGGTTATCTCGGTGCCTATATATCTTTGCTGCTCTTCTGCGTCCAATTATATTAATTACTTCTAGGAAATCTTCATCATCTGTTAGTGCATGCAACTCCATTACAATTTGGAGGGTAACAGCATTGATTATGTTAATCAATGGTAACAGGTATTACATAAAATTATAACCTAACAAAACTAACAAATCGGTGACTATGCGCAAAGAACCAAAACTAAGCTTAAACCAACAAAATCGGCTGCTTAAATAAAACAAAACTTAAGTTGCGTTTAGTTGTTGAGTGAAGTATGTACAACACTCTAAAAAATTGAACTGTGTTTAAACTCAGCTTAATTCTTAAACTCTGCTTAAGCTATACTTGTACAACCGGCCCTAAAACGGAGATTGTGATTCAGGTATAATAAAAAATACATTATATACTGAGATTCAGAGCACCGATATGGTTTAGAGTTCTGAAACACTGTATATAATGGGTTTCTATAAAACACATCATACACTTACAAAAAGTGTGTTTTTATTGTTCCCTTTGCAAGAAAAAAGCATATTTTTTGTTGTTTGTGTGTAATCAAGGTTCTCAAACTGCACTAAAATGATCTATAAAGAGGCATTGGTTGAAATGTGCCACGAGAATAAGTTTTCAATGATCGTATAGGTATATTTGGAACTAGTAGAACATGGATTTAAAGCGAAATTTAAAAAAGCGGATGAAGATATTAACAGTGTTTGGTGCGACAAGTGCTTAGCTGATTTTAGTAATAAAACAAACACGACACCGAGCACTAAACCATATCGGCGCTCTGAATCGCAGTATATAATGTATTATCAAATTGCGCATAACGTGAAGCCATAGTATACTGCGAATCAGACCAGAGCTGCTCTGAATAATAGTACAGAATGCCAATACGCTACCGGTTTAGTTATTAGTTGTGATAGTGTAATCCACACTCAGTTTATTAAGCAATCGGCAACAATTATTTGTCGATTAATCGCCGGAAATATTTAGTACTACATGACTACTGTCGGTACGTCAAACAATAAAAAAAAAGGAACAAAAAACCAAATAAATAAAATCCCCTTCCAACACATATACGTTAGTTTTAATGGGTGGGTACCGGTTTGTGTGAATTATATTATTAAAAACAATCGCCTGTATTTTAATTACATCTTTTTTTATTGTGTTTTCGCATATGTAAACAAACGATTTAAAAAATGTAAACAAAGCAATTAATATGTAGTATCGAATAGCGTCTTGGAGAAACTAGTGATGCAGATTCACAGTGGCGCATTATTATTACCTTTATAATTAACTATCTACCACTTCTTTTCATGTTGGCCTAAGTTGTGTTCAATAATATGATATTGCGCCTTTCCTTTGTTCAAATTCCACGTACAATGCTTCTTTACATAAAAAAACCAGGGGAAAATTCACATGCAATACCGCAAGCAAAGGCTCTTGTTTTTTTATGTCCGTTGGGACATTATTTTATTGTGTTGAACGAATTCCCATGTCGCTGACACACGATGATTTTCTGATTTTATCAGACTGTTAAGTATTTCGGGGTACGAAATAAGGTATAAATTTACCCAACTTTCAACCTAATGAATTTTCATCGAAATCAAAATAAAATATTCGTTCCACTCCAAAACAAGCTATTTCCCATGAAAGTAGGTACCTACAGCATCAAATAGCGTGGGAAGGCCATTCAAAGTTCATACGCTGTTTGTTCAATTGAAACCCATCTTTGATCTTAAAGATGTGAACGTCAACGTCGCAAGGCGATAAATCGAGACTATAGAGTATATGTTCTAATATCCTCCATTTCTCTCTTTGGGAACTTGAGGCCGAGCATTGCCGTGGATCACAATGACACTACATGAACTTTTCTGGACATTTTAGTCTTATTGCTGAATGGAGCTTGTCCAATGTTTCATTATACAGATTTGCATTGATTATGCACTATAGGTTCTGTAAACTCTGAACAAGGGTCCTTCATGGTTGAAAAAAAATGGTTAACATGACCTTATCTGTAGGCGGTTGAACTTTGCTCGTTTCCATTGGATCGATGACAGCTTGCGATGGTTCAAAGTAATAACATTGCCAATTATTGACGAAAGAAAGTCATTACATCGCTTGCTTCCTATGTATTATCATTACATCTAATAAAAACTTAGAACCTTATAAAAATTTATTATTTTGTTGCATTGCGGTTCTTATAAATTATATTGTTCACTAAACTAATTTTGTGACAAATATGCCAAGTGAAAAACTCTCTTGTGTTTTGTTAAAGAGAATTTCAAGCCCATTAGGAATATTGCAGAAAAAAGTATCCGTTTTATTATTCAAAAAGCGACGAGCGTCAGTTAGAAAGATATGGAGAACATTTGAAAATGAAACTAAACTGATAAGTCCTTTAAGGGTTTTGGCACATGATGAATTGAACTAAAATATTTTCAAGATGGCGCCACTTCCGCAAATACCGGAAGTAGCCGTCAACTTTGTTATTTTAAATAGGGATCAGTTGGCCCTTTGTTGCAAGGGCTTCGTCGATATTCAAGTTTTTATGTCAAAAAGTGTAAGGGTTTCGTAAATCGCATCTGTCTCGATTACTAAACAACATATCGGATTGCAATTTGTTTTATTCTCTTCGCTATAACATTGTCTACAAATAAGTTTCAGTTGACCTTTGTGTCTGTTAATTACATATGTATGAGAGTTGACTAGAGTAAGTGTACCCACACAATAACTCAATAAAATATATTATTATTATTATTATTATGTTTAGGGGGGCACGGGGAGAGAAACAAGGGGGGTAGGAGCGGGGACTTTTGGCTAAACACTTGTCTAAATGGTAGTAGTCGATGGGAAAAAAATTAGCTTTATACTATTTTTTTCCCACTAAAAACACAGGTTGACTGGACTAAACAGAGAGAAGCGACATTTCAATAAATGACAGATTTCTCTTCATAGGTTTCCGCAATATCAAAGCTTGTTTTTCTGTGACACCTGCTTTAGCATTTTATTTTCCTATGTGGGATTATTCAATACGCACACTACTTTTCCCTTTGCGAGTTTTCGTCCTCAGACAGCAACAGGTGAAATATCCTCTATGGAGATGTTTAAATTTAGAGCGAGTTTCACTTACTGTAGATACTATCAGCTGAGAATCTGCTTTCGAAATTTAGCCACAAGGTTTGTTTAATTCAAGGTGCTGAAGTTTGAGAACTATTCATTTGTTCCGATTTTGTATAAATGAAACCGTCTTGTATAAATAACATGTGTTGGTTGGACCAGTCTGAAAGCATGTTTTTGTTCATTTAGTGTATTAGACAACGCATTTCTAATTATTGTTTTATTAAGCTTCCTTCAATAAGTTACCAATTTGGTAATGATACCAGAATTTTCTTTAAGTCAACGGATTAGTTTCTTGTAATATGTCTTACGTGGACCGTGGAAAAAAACGTACATACAGGGGTTAGGGTCTGTAGGTTCAATGAAGAGGAAAGTAAAATATAGTAATTCTGCTGTCTTTCGCATACTTAAATTCTTCAAAATTTGTATGGTTACTATGCCCATCTAAGAGAAGAATCGCTTTGTGACAGAACATAACATATTTTATTTTATTTCAATCCCTCTCTTGTTCTGGGCCCTCAACAGGCTTGCGCCCGATTACAGAGTGACCCGCATAATGTTTTTTAAAGTTGCCTCTGCAGAAGGTCTTAAGTTGTTCTATACTACTCCGGTATTTACCTTACGAATTAGGAAAACTGAAGGAAAACCTAATTCAGAGTAGTCGGCAGAATGCTCGAAACTGGTCTAAGGAAATTCGCATCTCAGCCACAGATGAAAAATTCTTACCTCAGTCCAGGTTCGGTCGTATGTGGTTATTATTATATATTTATCAAATTTGTACAATATTTACACTTCATTACACATAACTGATAATTTACATCGTATGCATCCCTCTACAAATCGAAGGCTTTTTTTACAGGTCATTGCCCCACCTTAACGTTTCATGGTTGTCTATATAGCATATTTACCTGTAGTAAGAACTATATTCTTGAAATAGCGTCTAAATATATAATTCCTAATACCTATCTTTGCGTAGGTACTTTATTTTCAAATCATTTGTTTTTTTTTATATTATTTGTTTCTGCTGAGTATTTTTTATCTTTATTTTTTGTTCTCACTTTTAGCGTTTATTACTAATCTAAGATTAATAACTTTTCTTTATGTATTTTCGCCTTTGTCCTGTAAATGGGTGTTCCTGTTGGGCAAATAAAGCATTATTTTTATTATTATTATTATTGTCGGTGTTTCTTGTGAGAACTCAGGTCTAGCCTGGTTAACTAATCGCACGGATTAAAATCAAGTAACGATTAGTGTCTGTGTCTGTGTCTAGTGAAGTTATGTAGGGTTCTAAAGAAAAATAAAAAATAAAATAAATATTCGCACACTCACATTGGAAATCTAGGGATAGTATGTAATTCATACTTACCAACATAGCCTTCGTGATCTCCAGATACGTACCAAAAATGAAGCGATTCATTATTATTATTATTATGGTCGGTGTTTCTTGTGAGAACTCAGGTCTAGCCTGGTTAACTAATCGCACGGATTAAAATCAAGTAACGATTAGTGTCTGTGTCTGTGTCTGGTGAAGTTATGTAGGGTCCTTAAAAAAAAAAAAAAAAAATCACACACGTACATTGGACATCTAGGGATAATGTAATTCGTACTTACCAACATACCTATTGATGGGCACAATAGCCAACGCTATCAGGAAAGAGGAAAACAAAACAAAAAAAAATCATAATAATTCCTGTAATTTTATTAAATGGAGTTTATTGTGTAAGTGTTTCTTTGGCTTTGCGTTTGGGTTGAATACGAGTGGGTTGTGATAACCTGGTGTGTTGCTGTGAAGAAGGAGTTTTGTGTTTTTTATTTGTATTTATGGTGTTTCTTTGTTCCTGAGGTCGTATTTGTGAGGTTGCTTGGGTTTTTGGTGGAGATATTGCAGTATTTTGTGAGCCTGTGGTGCTGTTAAGGTTTTTGCGTTTCGGTTGTATACGAGTGGGTTGTTTCTGAGAAGAATTATTATTATTATTATTATTATTATTATTATTATTATTATTATTATATCACTCTGTTAATACACCACTGTTCTTCAAACTTCTGATGT